ATAATATGAACCAGATACAGATATATCATGTAAGAGACTCACGTTGCAGGGCAAATGCTAAGAATGAATAAAGTTTCCCGTTCCATGTTAAATTATGAATTATGATAATTGGGATTGAAGGCTATGGGATAGATAAAGATAAACATCGTCAATGTTCCCAAAGAAGCCTTGTATTTAACTATAAAAGATAGGGATTGGAATTTCACTTACAATTCCCAGGACCAAAAATTATTTTCCCAGAATGTTAAACACTTTCAATAAATGAAATTGTTTAATGGAGGTAAGAACGCAAAAGCTAGTACTTTGCATCGGTTCTCTTCGCATGCAACTGAACACTACATTTCATGCGAGTCAACCTCATGAATACATTACATATTCACAGAAGTAACAACTGTCAACAAAGGAATGTGGCTATCACGATCAGTGAATTACCGATCCTCTTATAACTTTTATCTGCGGGTGAGTCTGGGGAAACGTTTAAAAAAATATTCTTAGATATTATAAAAATTAAAGAACAATGTTGGGGATTATACGAGAATTTGGTAACTTGGTTGTGCAAAGGAATGATCACGAAGGGAAAGTGCAAGGAGGGAATTTTGAGCTCTTGTTTTAAAAGACAATTCTGTATATTATACGCGCACGTTTTCTTGAGCCCCGGAATATCTACCCCCACTCCTTGGCCAACGTTAGTTTAATTAAGAATGAATTACAGCAACGAGCATTGTAGGCAGAATATGACAACCAAAAGCATTCGCCCCCGAATAATAGAAACAATTTTGAATAGAAAAATGAACTAAGTTTTGATTTAAAATTCCTTTTGTCAAAATAACCAAACTTCCCATTCATCTCGCAACTAGTGAAGAAAGGGCTCAAGAAAACGTGCGGGGGCAATATTATGTATGAGAAGAAAACAAATGGATTGCCTGCATGCTTGGGAATCAAAGAATACACCTTGTTAGGGCAATACATAAAGTATAGCAATCCAAGTTTGGGTGTCAAAGCATTGATTGCGGCCCCAAATACATGAGATGCGGTAAACGGGAAGTAGGTTTTGAAAGATGTGATTCTGTGGAAAGATGAAAATATTAAGTCTCGTAATATCTGCCGACTTGGACACATGTAAGCAATTGATGCGATGTGAATGTGTTTTCAGTATATTTTGGGGTTATTTGTAAATAGTATTGAAGTGGGTAAATGATGATTAGTGTTGATAGATTAGCATTATGCGGGGTAATAGTTCGAAGGTGTTAGTAATATTAAATTCTAATTGTGGTTTTCGTTGATGTAATTTGAGACGTAAGTCAAATAGACTCCGTATTTCCGAAGGAATTTATGTCAAGTAGCTCTGTAGTTAGAAAGGATTTTTATAGAAGTCCACTGGAAGTTGACAGTAGTGCATAGGGGTTTTACTCGTAGTCCAGCGAGGACATACTGGGAACATTCGATAATTTATTCGGACAGGAAAAAAACACTACAACAGGAGCAACAAGGTCATCCCTTGGACGACTACAGCCAAGAGGTACAGCCGTGTAGTAAGCTTACGAGCTTTATTTTAAAACCGTACGGTACACTTATGCTGTATATATGAAGAAAGTTATCCATTTAATTCATGAGCTCTAAAATATTATGTAAAATTGTTATAATATATGTTCAATTTGATTTTTGAAAAGAGAAAAGGCTGATAATTCACAGTTGTTGCCATCAATTTAATAATAAGTTTGTTCTGCAGAATCTCCAGGAATCGTGATTCCGTATGAATAACATGTGCACATGCAACAGGTAAGACGAAAAAATATTGTATTTCAAAACTCATGATTCAATTTAAAAGTGAAATTAATATAATAATTTTTTAACATTGCGAAAATTTGCGAGCATAGCAGGGTAGCGAAAGAAATAATCTACATTGATAAAATCAGTAGGAAAAGAAAAGGAATGTTACAAATGGCCGCTCATTGTGGCTCATAAATGAACATTATCAAAGATAAAGAAGCAGTTTTGTTACAATATACATTCCAGTTGCATTATTCGAGTAAGTAAAGTCCATAACTTTGGCTTGTTTCTTTCATTTTTGGATTGGGTCTTCTCGTGGCAGACCGGTTGTTCGTGCACAATGCATGTTTACCTGTACCTCTAAGGTAATAATGTGTGGCTATGTGGCATTTATCTAATTTTTCTGGAAAACAGTGAACAGATGCTTTTGCCTTCGGAAAGTGGAAATAATATTGTGCTGACAGCTTCTACTTTTTATTAAAGTCTCTTGGGCTTGTTTCTCAGTTTCCTAAGAAGCGCAACTAAATTGTAGTGTATTAAAATATTCGGTTTTTGCAAAAAGTGTTCTTTTCCTTCGAAGTACAATGGAGGTAACTTGATTTCTTTAGTCTTTCCTAATTGACTGATATATTTATTTTACGAAACTTGAAATTGTATTTTCAGTTACAGTTTCCTCGTTTCAAATAATTTTCTTATTCATTTAATGAACATTAAGTAATTAAAAAAGATCAATAGAAGGAAAGAAAACACATTTTTCCTCGATATAAAGTTTACAAAATATACATCCTCGTAAAATAATGAATCGGGCAATGACGCATTTTTTCCTCGTTTTCAGCTGCACTAAGTTAAAAGAACAAGACAAAACTTCTTGTTGATTAAGGAAAGACGTTGCCTTAATTCGACTTATTAACTCAAGTAAAAAAGACAGACCGTAGCTTGGCTTTTTTGAAGACCCTTGTTTTCTTTTATTTCAACATTAATGTGCTATTGTCATGGACTAAATTGACTTTCTAATTTTTCTCCATGTCTTCTTTGGTGAAAGAGAACAAATAAAATGGCATTAAAATTCAATCAAGGTTCTTGAGTATTTCGTTCAAATCAAGTTCCAGAATGCTTCAAAATATGAAAAGTACCATACTATAGAAAGGTTTTTGTAGTGCTTAAAATTATAAGTATTTTGGTACAGAGTTGAAAATACAAGTGTATCACTCTATCGATGTCCATTTTCATACAATGTTACAATACGCAACTCATACTAAAAAAAAGTCGCAGGGAGCTTCGTCTTTTAAATGCACGTTTTATCAATTATGGTAGGACTCGACATCAACGGCATAGCACTATCGAATTCCTTCGGGGGGGGGACAAATGTAAGGCATATTGAATTTGAATAGAAATGAATACTTGAAGTACGTGCTGTACCGACAAAAAAGAATATAATGTCATCTTACTCCAAAAATTAAATATTTCGAAATAATGTAACAAAAGTTGTGTCTGTTTTTAAGATGTGTTGTAGGTATTAATGTGATTAAGTCAATATAGAAGAAATAACCATGAATTGTATTATTTGTGACATGCGCAATCTATCATTCAATACTCTTCGTAACACCATCTTCTTAAAAGAAAACATACAATTAAAAATATATTTTAATGGAATAGCAGTACGAAGATTTAGCAAAAATGAATACGTTTCGAGTGTTCTTAACAGACGGAAAAAATAACATTCGGCCATTCGGAGTGCCTCTTTGATCTTACGTTTAGTTTCACTGTAAACAATACAGTATTATAAAAAATGCACAGTTTTCAAGAGGTTTTGAAAAGTACATTTTTTCCCTCTAGCCAACTCATCGACGTTTGGTCATTGACCTACGGTAGGGTACATAGAAGATGTGAAATTTGTGCAAGACGCTTCGGCAAGGTCTCTCTTGATAAGCTACTCCTCGACGCGAAGCAACTTTATCAAGGGCGGCTGGAGAAAATATTTAAGGCTGGACGGATATTAAAAAAATAAAGGGAAGTGTTTAATTGAGTTTATTTATGATAATAGCTTCAATTATTTATTACATTCATTATTAATACCAGAATTCAGTGTTACTACTATTATTATCACTAGAATTCAAACTTGAAGGCACAGTTTATATTAAAAATTATTAATATTGTTACTATAATTTCAATAAATCTACAAATAGTGAATCATATTCAGTTTATTTGTAATTTAAAAAGTAATCATTTACGTTTATCTCAGAATAAATGTTATAAACTCCTAGGCGACGAGTTGAGATTAATTACTTTTTGCCAATGAACATTAGGCGAGAAATTTCATAAAACGAACCTACAAGACATTTGTCTCCGATTGGCAAGTAACTAATCATGCAGCAGTGTTCGACAGGCCACGTTCTGACGGAGTCAAAGGAATTTCCCGTACCCCCATACAACATTACATAATGGATACTAACCGGCGAATTTTTGGCAGAAAAACTTTTATTGCTGGTCCCAGGTGAAGAAAGTGGATAAATCTGAATAGAAAAAAATCGCTATCACACGGTGTAGCCATATTGCAAGTTTTGTGTGTTCTTGATACTGAAAAATCCATTCATGGCTAAACGTCTGCCTGACCGTCCATGGCCAACGCAAGCGCCTAAACTGTTCAGAGAGATTACTCAAAATTGATATTCCCCAATCAATCTCAATGACTGCGAGTTTCAAACAGATTTTTTTTTATTTTCGAGGGTATTTCACATGAAATTTGAAAACATTTTCAGAACTCACTTGAAAATGTCATCAAACGTCTCATTTTCGTTGAAATTAAAGAGTTTTTGAAAACTGCAAAAGTGAATTGTTTTGGGATGACTTCTTACAACTATAATATTGAAGGTATATATTTTTTGTTAATGCAATCTGCTCTTTAAAGACGTACCTTTAAATACATTCATGTTCAATTTTTCAAAAATATGAGTAGTTCTTGTTTGGCACAAAATATAGGCAATTTAAAAAATCAACATTTTTCTCTAAAAATACTCCTATTTTTCTTTATTATTTCCACGAATAGAAGAAGATATGCTTAAAATGATAGCGTGGTCTCATTTACGTTGAACACTCTGAATTTTTGAAAATTGCAAGTTTAGAAATAATTAGAAAAATTATGGGCAATTTAGCACACACACACACACACACACACACACACACACATACACATACATACATACATGTATACACACCTCTAAATAAGTAAGTTTCTTACCTCTTGGTAATTGATAAAAAATGACAATATTTAACGTTCCTACGTACCATTGAAGCTTGTAACATTTATTCCAAGACGTTCGGTATATTCTGGGGAAGTGGTGAGCATGGCATAGAGGTGGGTGGACATAGATTTGTCCGGTTCCCTGTCAACACGGTGCTTTGTTTGGCGCGGGGGGCGAGCGCCAACGCAGCGCCAAGCGGCGATGCGCCAACTCGGCGGCGAGGGCGGCGGCGCCAGCTGCGCAGCCCAGCGCCAGCAGCAGGAAGCAGCTTTGCAGGTGGCGCAGCTCCAGCTGCTTGGGCGCCGCGGCGGCCGACGGCTCCTGGAACGCAGGCGCACCGCAGGGGCTAGCCCTTTCATCTCTATGCATGTTGGTTAGAATAAATGTGACAAAATTCTATGCTTGCAGGGAGAGCGAAGATGAAAACTTTTGCCAATTAGTAGGTGGTGGAAAATAACCAAGGTAAACAAATGAAAGTTTGTAAGCAACACACCTTGCAGTGGTGTTTAGCAGGCAAATGAACTATCAGGAGACGGTTGGACCCCTGGCAATGACCGTACTGAATTTTTTTAAATGTCTGTAGTATCCAGCTTGAACGGTGGCAGGAGATGCATTACCGTTTGCTACATACATAAATTATTAATATACACACTTTGAGAAATGTTTTTAATCAAAAATAAACTATGAGGCCAAAAATTCAATACTGGCATTGCCAGCGAGCAGGATTCCCCGCGGAGTTCGTGTTCCTGAAAAACACAAATGCAGGAAGAGTTGCCTATCAGTCAGGGGCGCGTACTCAGAAATGTTATTAGACTTAACTTTGCTGACGGCGCTTTGTGAATTAGTTGGTGAAGTATGATATGAGTCATGGAGTTACACGGACATCGTTGGTGTATGAGCAAATACGAATATGTATTTCAAAAAGAACAAAAGCGGCTGTCGGTAGGATTTGATCGAAAGTCCAACTCACTGGGTTTTGAGCACAGGACTGGATCAGTAAGAAACAGTAAGAAACCTATACCGAGCGTGCATGGCTTTTTCCAACTACTACTATTTCTCATGCTCTCATGAGTTTGATTCCTATTCATTCTAAATACGATTTTCCCTGATGTCAAATTCGTATTTCCCTGATGTCAAAAGAAAAGCAACAGAATTTTTTCTCAAAATATTTTTCTTGGTATTTCGTCATGCCATCTGTACTATGAGACATTGGCAAAATTACGAATATTGTTGTATTATTTTACAGAGAAATGGTAAACCAAATCTGTAATATTCATGGCGAGTCATTTCACGATTTAAAAAAATCTATATTATCAATGATTCTATTAGTATTAACAATTACATATTTTTGATTTCGACCTGTGAGGCATAGATTCTCAAAATAAGCAGTTTGGGTAATTTTGTAATTTTGTCGCAGCCCTTATTTTATTGGAATCGCACCGTCTCTTTGACAGATGACGAGGGCACGTGCGATAGCGTCTTTAAAGGCTGGTCTCATTGGAATCCCAATTCCAACAAGTTACATTTTCGACGTTTGTATTGGAATAAAATAGATTTTTTCGAATATATTTAGCTATATGTTTATTCAACTTGCCATAATCATAATCTTCTAAATATTATGGCACATTTTCTCTACAAATTGACGTGAGTACCGAAGAGTTTGTCAGTAAAATATTACGGTACATGTTAGCATATCTTATCTCGTGTGAATTGATGGGATACGTTGACCTTGTTTATTAACTAGGAGCTACTAATAGTTGTTGGTTAACAGCAACTAGGAGTTTTTGAATCCAATTATTTGTTAATAAAAAAGATCAACGTTGCCCATCAACCCTTCAAAAACATTTATTCATCCCATTGTGCTGAACACGCTTGTGGGTTTTGTACTTCCGAAATTACTCACAATGTAAATTGGTATTTTCTAAGGAACTACGCACTTAGGTACAACCACATTTGGTAATTGCGCAATATTTAAAAAAATTGTGACAGAAAATTTTTGTCTTCTCGCAGCGATTCACATTAGGCAATAGCCTGGTAATAGCACCACCTGGTAATAGAACTCATCTCCTTGAGAAATAGTGTATTGCACTTTGTTATATTACACACATTCTATGCCCCAGCTCCTTTCACATTTGCGCTGAATACAGACTTGGATGCTGCGATATGCAAGACACCTATTCACACTTCCAATTCGCTTCGTAGAGAAGTAATGCACGTGTTGGTCGATAAAGCACTGAAATATTCTCTCACATTCACCGTCGAATAAAGATGGACGAAGACCAAGAGAAATCGGTTAAATTGATCCCTAACTCTTCGTATATATATATATATATATATATATATATATATATATATATATATATATATATATATATTACCTCTATTGGTTAAATGAAATGATCATAGTTTAACATTTTTTTACTAATGAGAGTTGTATTTTATCTTTTCAGCACATAATAGAAATGTTTCAGGTCACACTTCTTATCATGAGCACCTTCGGGCATTAAGACTAGAACCATTAATGTTGTGGAAGTCCTTAGAAGCTCCTCTGAAGAAGAAGAAGAAGAAGAAGAAGAAGAAGAAGAAGAAGAAGAAGAATATTAAGTAGAGGGTTCCTTAGAAGTCTAACACACAATACAAGCTGACCACCTTTCTCTCTCTGAAATTTTTTCCATCGCCTGTACTGCGAAATTTTGAATGACGTTCATGTTAACCAACATCAAAACAAAGATAATTAGTAAACTCGAAAAATCTTCGTGACACAATTGCTTTCCTGGCAATAGTAGGCGGTTTCAGAGCTTGAAGAGATAACTCGGAAGTGTCATATCTTTCTTACTGAAGAGATGTGGCAGCTCTAAAGAGAGAACAGTCAGTCGTGTCTTTGTCCGGGATTTCCTAGGATTTGACTCTCGAAGGTGGCGGTGTTTCGACACTACCTACGTAGTAAGGTCGAATTCAACCGCTGTCTGGGGAGAAAACTAGCAGTCGACTGCTCTAATCAATAGTTTTTCATGGTCTCCCCGATCACTAATGGATGAATGCCAAAGGGGAATCTTTGAAAACGGACAACAGCCCTCACGTGATATTTCTTTTTCTGTTATTTAAGGTCGCATCAACATATAGGTCATAAGCGACCACTATTGGATTTAACGTTATGGCAACTATGAAGATGACATGTTGTGGTAATGATAGGAGGTGAAAGGACGAACACAAGCACAACCATGCACCAGGCGAGACTCCCGCGATCCTTCTGTCGAAGATCGCTACAACACTACTACATTAACGATATCGGCCATCCAGACGACACGTGATCTTTTCTCCCTCCTCTTTGTCCCAATCTCTTCCCTTACACACACACACACATTTACATGCACTACGCAATCAGAGATGAGGGGAGTCTGCCTAGTCAGAAGCGGGTCTAGGCAGAAGCGGGCCAAGGCAGAAGAAGTCTGAGGCGGGGCCCCTATAGCGGCGATATCTGAATGGAAGAAACTCCAGCGTTGACGCGTAGATCGGCGCCGAATCTCACGTTCTAGCCCAGGCTGAACACCGCCACATCTAGGATTATAAAATTCACTACACTTACGAGATTAATTACCATAACAGTTGACGCGCCAGGAAACACGAAATAATAGATAAATCCAGAGAGAACGAAAGAGTAGCTCTAGATGACCTGGCGAATCCTTGGCGGAAGGCATTTTATTTACAAAACTTAGGTCACGAATGAGAGCTCCAAAACCATTATTTTTTACTTTGTCATTCATTTAACCCTTTACCATTCATAATTTCAAATAAACAGCTTTCCACCCACAAAGTAATGACACAAGTCCGAGAGATCCTCAAATTTGTGAGCGCTGGCCAACGGTCGAGTCCCCGGAAGAATTGCAATTAAGAAACTCTGAGGAGTACTCAGAGTACACTTAATGAACGTGCACGTTGATGTCTCAACAAACAGCTTGATTACACAAACTTCACTACAGTGTCATGTTCTTGGATCTCAAGGTCTCGACACGATGATGGGAGTAGTAAGCAACAACACCACCAAAAACAACTATGATATGTAATTGGTAAACTGTAATAATAATAATATTAACAATAATATTAATAATAATATTAATAGGCCTGCTCCGTGGCGCAGATGGTTTCGACAGCCGTCGTCTGCGCCGAGGAGACTGCAGGCTCAAGTCCTGCGTAGACATGGTCGTATTTGTGATTTACCCCTTATTATCATCCCATCTCCTCATTATTCATAATTCAAGGCGTAAAAATCTTGTCTTATCAAGGGATACAGCCGATAAAACTGATTCCCGTAATTTCAGACGTATATCTCTCCGGAAGATAATATTAATAACCATCATGACAATTCATCGCAAACCAGCATCGTACAATCCTGAAAATTGGTACATCCTAGAATATATTGATACTCCGAAACAAAAACTTCAACTTTTACAGCCAAAGATTGGGACGCTATAATAAGAGTTCAAAGCGCAAAAATGATAACCACATATTTAATAGAAACCAAAACATGTTTTATACGAGATTGAAAGAAGAAATTCAAAGCATTTAACTGCTTTGAAGACAGCTGTAGAAGAATTCCGGAGGGAATGTGGTCAACAGAAGGCCACTTTCAAGACAGCACATCATGGATGAGTGATGTTACGAATCCTAGCAATTCTATGAGACACATGGAAACCAGTGAAATTCTTATGGACATCTTACATTACATCAAGAAGGGCTCTTCCAAGCAATTAAGAACAAGGGAAAATGGAAATTCTCCGGAATTGATAAGATCCAAAATTATTGGATTAAGAAATTATTAGCATTACATTCTCGCCTCGCAAAGGTTGTTAATAAATTTTTATAAAATCCAAAGGAACTGCCGAAATGACTTACACGCGGCATCACGTATTTGCTACTCACAGCGGGATACAGCTCTTTGGCGACAAATTACAGGCCAACCACTTGGCCGCCAGTATTGTACAAAGTTATACCTGCGGTCATAGCTGAAGCCCCTAGAGAAGAACCATCCGTTGCCAGTTGCCAATTGAATTTTAAGGTCGCATCAACTTCTAGGTCATTAACGACTACTATGGCGGGTAACGGTGTGGTAACTGTGAAGATGACATGATATAGTGATGATAGGGGTGAAAGGGCGAACACAATACAACCATGCTTGAGGCGGGACTCGAATCCGAAATCCTTCGGTCCAGGATCGCTACGTCACTACTGTTATAACGATATCGGACATCCATTAGAAATTAGTAATCAAGATTTTCCACCGAATGCCTATTTTCGTTTTTTGCTGTCTGTATCGCACGGCA